TACTTTTAGTCTCGATTATCCAGACGCTCCATATGCATATGTAGAGTCTGGATCCATTCAGTTCGAATGATTGCGTGTCCAAATATGCAAACACGCGAGCTGGGTTTTTTCGGAAAGTTTCTAGACTTAACGTTCCCTTGCGGTAACACTAGACAAAAACAAACGGAGGAAGTAGCAATCATCATGCCTGGTGCCGGTTGGAAGCAACATCAAAGGAGTTTGAAATTCTAGCAATAAAGGTGTATAAATATGACAAACTCGACTATCACAGTAGAGCTTCTCTCGAAGATTTTTATGCGACTTTTATTTTTTTTTGTTCCAACCACAACCATGTTTGACAATGAGTGAATATAATTTCATTTATTCATAATTACTATCAATATTATGGCTGTGGGCTATTATTCATTATTTTGCAACCATGCAAATTAGAACAGAGACCTTATTCATTGTATACTTATTAAAATTAACCATTTATAATGATAAATTGTGGCTCAAAATTCTACATTTTATAACTATTGATTATTCCATTACTTGTATTTTTCTAGCACTTCTTTTTAACATGATGGAGTTGCAAAAAGTTACCACAGTTCTATGGACATGATGGACAACTAAAGGAGAATAGTTTCATTTGTCAAAGGACAACTAAAGGAGAATAATTTCATTTGTCAAAGGACAACTAAAAAAGAATAATTTCATTTGTCAAAGGACAGGAGACTTTCCATGCCCTAAGACTTTAAAAGCTGAAATTGTAAGGCTTTAAAAAAATAATGTATATACATATGGTCCTGTCTTAAGTTTCCATAAAAACATTAAATATAATTTAAGTCTTAACTTTTTTATTTAGACATATTTTATGTAATTTTATATAATGTTTTAACTATGTTCAATGCATTTTGATACATATTTCTTTAATTGGAAGAAGTAAAGCACTTAATTTATACATAATAACCTTTTTTGATTTTAGCTTTCATATAAACCTTTTTGAAGATCATTAAATGTAGCTAACACTGTTTGAAGAGATGTAGGGTCCCATGAGACAGCAACTTAACTATAAAAATAACCAAAGGAATATATCAACATACATTTTTAACAGTCTAAACCTAATGCTCCATATATTCAAATTCCAAGCAATTAAAAGAGTTAAAGTAAGCAGTAATTCTTTAAATAGGTAATGTGTGTCTCCAATTAGTAAAGCAGTTGTTTGATCTTGTGTCATATCTTTTTAGGAAAATAAGATGCAGGGAACCATTCAGGAAGTATATATATGATACTGATATTTACAATGTTCTCCAGAGCTATAACTCCAGCCCTCAAGATTACATTACACTACTATTGCTTGCTTAATTCTACCATCAACAACAGGAGAAGAAAGGAGATTCAGCACTATGAATGATCTTTGCAATTTGCTGTGGATGATGACTAAATCAAATTTGGATGCATTGATGAAATTCATATAGCGATGACAGTTATTTCATTGAACAAGAAAACGCTGTAAATATTTTCAATGGTGCAAAACAAAAAAGTTATGAACTATAAAATGATTAAAACTGTGTTGGGTTTACAATTTGTTTAAAAAGTGACAACATTTACCTAATCAAATATAATGAACACCAAAGATGCTATTATTTGGATTGATTGTAAAGTTTACATGTCTGGCTGGCATGTTTCATTTGCCCTTTGAACTCATGTTCATGGATCATAAGTCAGTGTAATGTTTCAAATGTTGGATCCTCTTCTAAGATAATATAAACAAAATGTTTATAAAAGTCTATTATGGTATGATTGTAATATGTACAAGTCTGTCAGGCTTGGTTTATCAGACCTTGACCTCATTGTCATGGATCATTAATAATTTTTGGCTTGTAATAAACTTTTATCTTTAAGGCTAATAATGTAAATCATTTAAGCAGGCAACACATTTCAGCTTGTTTTAGACATCAATAACTTGGTGAAATTTTTTTATATTTTTTTTTTCAAATCTTTAACAGAAATTTTTTATGATCAAAAGAAAGTATTCAGTGCAAAATATTTTATTTTATGTTGCTGTATTTTACTGATAGGGACTGAGTTTTTTGCAATTTTTATATAAACATGATAAAGATTACATTCTTGGGTTTATGCATAAAAAACAAGTCAAACAGTCCTAGAATGAAATGAAACTTTGGCAGATTTGCTTAAAGTTGATGTATGGAACATATTGTTTGAAGCAAATTTACAAATATATCTTTTCATTGTTCAGTCTTTTCAGTTTTTGCAGTAAACATTTACATACAATACAGTATAGACTTACATTTTTTAGACAATAATAACTTAGTTAATATTAAGATAAGAAGATGTGCTTATAATTGCCAATGAGACAACTTTCCACTAGAGAGCAAATGACATAGAAGTGAACAACTATATTTGACCATATGGCCTTTAACAATGAGCAAAACCGATATTGCATAGTGAGTTATTAAAGGCCACAAAATGAGAAATGTAAAACAATTCCAGAGAGAAA